AAAGTGGACGAGCACAGAGACACGAAAGGTGACCACCCCTCGGCCACACAGCCTCCCGACTACCGCTCCGCGTCGTTAACCGCATCCTTCTAGCTCTCGCGTTACCACCATCCTCGCCCTTCCGGTTTCTCGGCCGGTCCACCGCGGCCCCTCTGTCGTCATTTCCTGTGGGTCTGCACCGCCGAGGAGAAGATGGCGGCGCTGGGAGAGCCTGTCCGGCTGGAGAGGGGTGAGTGCAGCGGGTCTCGCGGTCGCGGTGGGTAGGGCAGGTCGAGACTACGAACCGCTTTGCCTGCCGGCCGGAGCGAAGGTAAGGTGACCCGGGCGTTGATACTCCGAACCCCTCCTCCTTCGGCCTCCGCTCTGGGCGCTGCTCCCGGATGGCGCTGATGGCGTTTGAAAGATCGCCAGACCCGGCCGTCCACGCCGACGGTGGGCACAGCTCGGTTCAGCGACCTGCCCACGGCTGTAGGCACAGGCACTCCCTGGGTGCGCACTGCGGAACCGGCTTTCAGCTGCATAAACCATAAAAGCAAAGGCCACACACGCTGTTTCGGGACTATCTGGCTTCTACTGTCATTGCTCCTATGCACGAAGAGATTAGTGTGGCCTCTTGGCCTCCTACATTTGGCGGACACAGGCACATTCCCGCAGAAACTCCCTCGTTCCCATTTAAAATTCAGACTCCATCATTACTTTGACCACAACCTTCGGACTTTGAGTTGCTATTTCTTAGCTTCGCACACCTCCAGCCAAGGAGAAGATGATTTAAAAAAATAAATAAATAAATCCAACTGATTTGATCTTGAGAAGGAGATTACATAACTAGGTGGAGTACTGGTTTGATTGTAAGCACTTTTGAGTACGATGCTGTTTCTTACTTACAGACCCTACAATTGGAAACCTGGTTGGTTGATTGCTTCTTAGAGCAAACAGCCAAGAAAAATAAACCCTATACAAGAGAAGCCTGTGAAAAAACTCTACCAGTGTCCAGTTGCAGATTTCCAATATTATACTCTGTTCTGCCCAAGTTAATTTTCAGACAACTGGAGCAAGCTTTTTACAATTGGTAGTCATAGCAATCAGGAAGTACCAGTTAAGCATTTTGAGTACTGTTGGCAAACAGATCGTGGAATTATTGCTTTGCATGTATTAGTATTCACAATTATAGTCTCAATATTGTCCAAGAAGGAAATAATTTTAAAATTTGTGTACGTAATAGAACCTCTTTCCTCATGCCTCACACACTGTGCTGATTAGTTTTGCTTTTCATTGTAGTGATCATGGAAGCCTTTTTTTTTTTTTAAATAAGTAAATGAGCTTTTTTCTGACAGGGTAGCTTGGGAAAGACTAAAATAGGCTTACAGCTGTATCCTTTTCTTCTTGAGTACTACAGTGTCAATGTGCTTTGTAAATAGGAACAAATCTTCTGTTGTGTTAACCAGAAGAGTTGGAAGTTTCTAACAAGGTGGCATTCTTTTCTATTTTTAAATGAAGCATAAAATGTGGATTGTTACCCTCTGACATTTGATTTTTGCTGTTAGGAGGTTTTCAGTTAGACAGGAGAAAGTTCAAAGTATTGGTTAGGAATGAAGTACTAGTTGGTTTTTGCCAGTTAGGATAAGCAAGTCAGTTGGTGTCAAGTATGATTTTGATTGAGAATTCTAACAGACCTAAAATATTATCAAGAGTTCCACAGTACAGTTCCTCAGTAAAATACCAGTACATAGGACCAGATTCCTGTTTTGCTTTTAAATTATCACAGCATAATTCACTGTTGCACCAACTTAATGAGCATATATTTGGTATAGAGTTTGTAACAAAGTGCTGACTGGCTGGTCTTCCTTCTCTCTACCCTCTCCTCTTCCCTTTTCCTTCTTTCCACCATGCTGTATTGAGTTGAGAGCCTTGTATATACTAGGGGAGCACTCTACCACTGAGCCACTTTACCTGCCCTATATGTAGGACTTAAATGGGGATAATGGGTTGTAACTTTGTAAATCAACAATTGGTGAAACAACATTTGTTAAGAAGTTCTGGTCATGGGAAATCAGAGCAAAGATCTGTTTGATTAATAGCAGTTTAAAGTTTTATTATTTAAAAATGAATCAACTTTTTGCTTTTCTACTATATTTATTTGTATTTTTTCATAAACAATGCAAAGTCCTAACTAATTCTGTGAAGTAAACGTCTGGTTCTTTAATGTAGCATGAAATCAAAAACTTCCTCCATTTAAGTCAAAGTATGCAAGGACTAGAGTATATAAGGTCGTACATAGACTGTATATAGAACCCAAGGTATCCTAGCCTTTGGAGGTAAGTGAACACAATTAAAGTTTACTGAGAGGTCTGTTAATTAGCAGTAATAATACACTGAAGCTGGGGTTCAGAAAACCTTAAGGAAAAAATCAGAGCAAAGGTTGTGATTAATGGAGTTTTAACATGAATCTGAGTTTTCTAAAGTTCTCTGTTCACATTTGTTGCATTCCCAATGACAGTTATCTAGTATGCTAAATGAATGTGTGCGTGTGTGTATGTGTGTGTGTGTGTGTGTGTAACCTTTAATATTCTTTTTTTTTTTTTAAGTTGTATGTGTTGGGAGCAGGGAGGGGTGTGGAGTGGGCAGAAGAGGGTGTCGTATCCCTAGAACTGCAGTTTTAGGTAAGTGTGAGATGTCCAAGTGCATGCTGGGATTCAGAAAGTGCTGAACCATCTCTTTAGCCTCTAATGCTTTAATATTTCTTAAACTTAATCCATAGCAATGAGCCATAACATCTCTGCTTGTGTAGGCTTTTTGTTTCCATTTCTTTTTCCCTGTATGAGAAAGGCACTGCTGTTTTACAGTGAAAGATCATAAAACAGGCTAGGAAACTTATTTGAGGTCACTTATAAGCATTAGAACCAGGTTGATAAAGCTATTTTCTATTTCCTTTTCCTTTCTGTTCTGTAAACCCTACCTAGACATGTCTGAATTAAAACACTGTTAGCAACCCCCTCAGCTAGTTACATTTCCACGTGTTACTAAACAATCGCATGTTTCCCTTCAGGAAATCAACAGTGATGTCACTAGCACATGGTCTCTTTGTTTGTTTGTTTGTTTGTTTGTTTTGTTTTTTGGGGGGGTCTGCTTTGGTTACAAATGAGATGATTAGATAAATTTGTGTTGACTAAATAATTCTTGATAATACTGTTAGCTTTTCTTATCTAACCTAAAGATTTTTTTTCCCCTTCTACCGTTTATTCTTCATCTTTGGAGAACTTGGGGTTTTGTTTGTTGTTGTTTTGTTTGTTTGGGTTTGTGTGTGTGTGTGTGTTTGTGTATTTGTTTTGCTTTGTTTTTGAGGCAGTATTGAAACCCAAACTGGACCTTAACAGGTAATGATCATCCTGCCTCAGACTCTGAAGGGAAGATTATTCATACTGGGAACCATGCCTGACTAGCCTTTGGATTAACTTTAGCTGCTATAGAGCTTTAAAGAAATGAGGAGAAGCTTTAGCAAGAATTCTGACTTGTGCTTTGTTTCCCTGTAGATATCTGCAGAGCAATTGAATTGCTGGAGAAATTACAGAGGAGTGGAGAGGTGCCGCCACAGAAACTTCAGGCTTTGCAGAGAGTCCTTCAGAGTGAGTTCTGCAATGCAGTGAGAGAGGTGAGTTAACGTAATCAACATGACCTCAGATTCTGAGTTACATAGCTGACAGAAATACACTGAAATCTGGATTCAGAAATATTGTAGAGAATAAACTAGTATCAGATATGAAAGTGGACACCAGTAATCCCAATACTCAGGAAGGTGAGGCAGGAGAAATTCCATGAATTACATACAGGCCAGCTATGGGCTTTGGCTACATAGTTATAGACCAAGCTGCCTGAAATAAAGAAGAGATGTGAGGGAAGGAAGAAAACATTAGTACTGGTTCTCTCTCTCTCTCTCTCTCTCTCTCTCTCTCTCTCTCTCTCTCTCTCTCTTTCTCTCTCTCTCTTGTTTGTTTGTTTGTTTGTTTTTCTTTGGAATTTTTAGCTGGGCTTATTATAGCTGAGTGCTTGTCTAATGTGTAAAAAATCCTAGGCTCAACCCCACACACACCCAAAAAAAATTTTTTTTCTTCGAAATTTCTAACAGAAGAGCATTACATTTTATAAAGACAGATAATTGTCTTTGGGAAATTTTAACATATTTGTTAACTTGCAGAGAATTCAAACATAGATATAGTTGAGAATTTAAGTCTGATGAAAGCCTTATGTTTTGCAGGTTTATGAACATGTTTATGAGACTGTGGACATCAGTAGCAGCCCTGAAGTGAGAGCCAATGCAACTGCAAAGGTAAAGGGATTGTCACTTATCAAAAGTGGGGCTCCAAAAACTAGAACTAAAAATAGAAATAGGAGTGTTTATTGGGTTTAGGTAAGATATTTTGTGATACTGTTTAGATAATGTATGTTGAAAATGTAGTAGTATCTATATCATGCCTCATATAATTGTTTTCAGTGCACTATGCAGATTTGTGGTTATAACATTAATTTCATAATCGACAAGAGTGACTTTCTTGTTGAAGACGAAGCATCAGAGTTAAACTAGTTTCCTTGTACCACACAGCAATAAGTGAATGGTAGTTCCAGGGACTGTAGGAGAAACCCTCTTGGATTTTCTCTTGACTTTGGCCCTGCACATATGGGACAGTGTTGGATCTAAGCTACCTTCTCAGGGCCATAGATGGCATGTTTGTGTGCTTTCTTGTACCAACTTAGTTTTCCTCAAATAACCTGAGACACTGAATCAAATGTATACCACATATGATTAAGAGTCATTTACTACTTAGTAGCCAGCTATTACTGCTAGTTACTGCTTCACAAAGGGAAGTACTAAAGTCTTCATTAAATACAAGTACTTAAGTGTATAGGTTTCCTTTGTCAAAGTCCCTAAATCCATGGAAACTTTAGGTTTGGGGCGGTGTGTGGGTATAGTTCAGTTATAGAGTGCTTGTCTCCCAGGCACAAGGCTTTGAGTTCCACCCATCCCTAGTACCACATAAACTGGGAGTGTTGGCATATACCTATAATCCCATTGCTGGGAGTTAGAGGCAGAAGGGACAGACATTTAAGGTTATTCTTGGCTCCATAACATGTTTAGTGCCAGCCTGGGCTAAATAAGACCCTGTCTCTAGAAGGAAAAGAAAAACATTTTTTGAAGTTTTGGCAGCATCCCTGCAACCCCAGCATATGAAGCTGAGGCATAAAGATGAAGAGTTTAAAGCTAGCCTGTGCTACAAAACTGCTTGCTTGCTTTCACCCCACCCCACCCCAAAAGGAAATTTGCTTGTCTCTGACTTGTGTCGTTCTCGGAGTTTGCAAGGCTTGTGAGCCTTAGCTTTTTTCAGTACTTCAGAGATGGCGGTTGGGGTTGGCTCTTTCCCCTCCCCACTTCCCATTTTTGTTTTTCCATCCAGCATCCATAATGAAAATGGGGCCTTTAAAACCAAAAAGAAACAGAATGTAAACCTGGGTTAGAATATAATTAGACATAGCTATATTTCATCTTTTTCTTTTTAGTTGTAACTAGATACTTAACTAAAGCAACAAAAAGCATTCCTATGGGTTATATACCTCCTTCCTTCTCATTATTGAGTCATTTCTTGATATTTTCATTATTTACTATTTGGTACAAACAATATAGCAGCCAAAATTACTTGATATAAGAACACACATATATATAAAAGGTAGGTTGTGTCTTGCTCCTAAAGAAACCAGTCTATCTGCTTTGAAGCTCAGGGCTGTTGGCATTCACAGGGAGGGCTTCCTCTTTTACTATCTACACATCTGTCTGCTTGGCCAGCCTTGACCGGCCCTGTGCATGTGCAGCTCAGATTTCTAAGTGATCTCAAGCTTACTTTCTATCTACATAAGCTGAGAAGTACTTTCAATTGTTATCTTGTACAAACTGTTTGACTTAACCCAGTGAGGTAGTAGAAGCTCACACATCACATGAAAAGTTGTGTCCCTCAAAAAGGCTTCCATGGGATAGGAATATAGAGCAATGCACATATGGACATCCTTAGAATATCTGAGTCTCTGGATTCAAGCACAGCACTTCAAAACTAAGTTATATTTGATGTATGCATTTTTCTTTCAGGCTACTGTTGCTGCATTTGCTGCCAGTGAAGGACACTCTCATCCCCGTGTTGTTGAGCTACCCAAAACAGAAGAGGGCCTTGGATTCAATATCATGGGAGGCAAAGAGCAAAACTCACCAATCTATATATCACGGATAATTCCAGGTGGAATTGCGGACAGACATGGGGGCCTCAAACGAGGAGATCAGCTTCTTTCTGTTAATGGAGTGGTAAAGATAAATTGTATTTCTATTTGCTATTTGCAGTAATGTGTTATAGCCACTTGGGGGTGCACTGAAACAATCAAATCAGAAGATAAGGGGGGAAACCTTTTGAGATTGATTTTTATTTTAATCCCTTGGGAGAAGCCCAGGTGGTACTGTGCCGCATGATTGCTTTGATTTTTGTGGTGACAGTGGAGCTGTAGTTGAGCAGAAGACCAGGCAACTTCTTCTGAGTCACATCCCCTTTTTAAAGCAGTTTCAGTGTGGCCGTAGGGTAAGGCGCAGTGCTGTGAACCTGTGTATGAAGTCAGAAGTAGATTCTTTTTACTTGTTTACAATGGCAATGACTTGATTTACTCCTGACCTGGTGAGATAATAAGGCATGAGTCTTGCTGTGTTTGTTATTCTTAGAGTGTACACAGATGTGTCTCGTAAGATTCCACATTGATTAAAGTGTAGAGTAAGAGTACTATTTTTATAGTACTGAAATGATGTAACAGTGACAATTTTTACTTAATTGTGTATTAAACCTTTTGACAGGTTAGGTTATTTGTAAACCTAAATGTTAATTGTGTGTTTTATGTGTGCATTTTTTTCAGAGTGTTGAAGGAGAGCACCATGAGAAAGCGGTAGAGCTACTGAAAGCGGCCCAAGGGAAGGTTAAGTTAGTTGTACGATACACACCAAAAGTCTTGGAAGAAATGGAGTCCCGCTTTGAGAAAATGAGATCAGCAAAACGCAGACAACAGACCTAACCATTTAAAAACTTTTTGTTTCTTTTGCTTTTAGCTAGGAAAGTTTTACTTGTGATCTACTGATGGCCTCAATGCCAGTGATTGTAAAACACCAGAAACTTCTGTGACCTCTTCTTGCCATTTTATAAATGCCTGTTTTAGCATCACTTATGGTTGTAGAGAAGCATACACTTTTTTTCTCACAGGGAAAAGTCAAAGTCGATGAGGGCAGTTCTGCCCTGCAGTTTTTACAGGACTTTTTCAAACACAGATTTTTGTCACAAAGTTGTTATAGATTTTTAATAATGCTTTTTTAATATTAAAATGTACTTTTACATTCTTAATCTTTTTTTAAAAAGAGGTTTCTTTATTTGGCAATTTATTTACAAATAACAGATCTCCAATATTTCCTTTTGCTTACTGCAATTTCTTTGTGAAATTTCTTTTCATTTTTCCAAGAAATTAAAGCATCTTGCTTGTGACAGTCTATCACATCATGAATATTGGCATCTCTGCTGCATTTTGTACTCGGAACATAACATATAATATCTATAATCAGTGGTAAATCATAGCCATCATTGAACCTTTTTATTTTTATTTAAATAATGTATACTGTATTCATTTATACTGATTTATAAAAGTAAGTTTTTAAACACTGAAGCAATCATTGCTAAAATATGTATTTCATAATATTTAAGCAGTGGGGCGAGAAGATGTAATTTGATTATTAGCATTATCCATTAAATTCTTTATTTAACAGTATGTCATAAATTATACATGCAAACAAGATCAGATTTCAACTTTTCAAATTTTTTATGCTATTCATTTGTATTTAAATATATTTCTCATATTTTGGTTCTTTCATGCCTGGAGATGAATCAGTTAGTCTGTGCTGGGGAGAATGGAAGTAAGACAAGGTGATAACTTCAACTTCTGGAGCCCAAAGAGCCATACATTCTTATATCCTGTCTTCAGTATTCACTCGGGGTATGAAGGGCAGGAAGGATTGGTTAAGATACAGGAACAGGTGGTTTCATAAGTCTCACAGTGAGTGGGGCTCAGAATGATTTATATCTGGATGATTGAAGTAGTGATGGGAATTTGGAACAATACTTTTTACCATTGTCCACTGGATGTCACTGTTTTCCTAAAAGGCAGCTATTGATACATGATTGTGACTATAGTCTTCTAAAAGCTGAAATCAAAGTGATTAATTTTTAGTCACTGATTATAGGAACATTTGTAAAGGGTTTAAGTGATGATGTTAAAAAGAAACAGATGGGTTGAAAATGTAGGAATTTGTCAAAATTACGACTATTACCTTTATTTTAAAAAAAAGGGCATTTTGTAACATTCCTTCAGGAAGAATGGAAGTGTGTATGTTTTCTGCATGTGTGCGAGCACTGTGCGTCTTACAAGATGACTGCAGTTTTCAGTGATTTTCAGAGTAAACTCAATCAACATGTTATTTATCATTTAGGAATTGAACACTGGATTGTGCATGGTTGAATGTCTTTAGTCCACTACAAAATGTGCTTGATATTGATAGGATCATGCTGAATTGTATATTTTCAAAATTAGCTTGTGTTATTAAAATGTTGAGACCAAAGTAGTATAGAAGAGTATGACATATGTTAATTTAATTGTAAAATTATTAGAGGTAATTGTTTTAAAACTCTATATTAAAGAAAAGTGTTGGTGCATATAGAACAGTAGCTCGTATTTCTGCATCCCAGGGCTAGTAAACCCTGAGGAACCCTGTCTTAGTGCAGCTACTGCGGCTGCAGTTGCTCCTGCGGATGCATCAGCGGTCCATTGTGAGTTCAGCTTCCTGCTTCATGTTTCAGCTGTCAACAGAATTTCGGCCAAGTTACTTTTTTTTTTATTTTTTAATACGTTGAAAAGGCTTTTTCTTCAGTAACAGTCTGTTCTTTGTGTGGGCTGACACCTATTTATAATTCTTAAAATAAAAACAACTTAAAGGAGCCAAATACATTGCTGTTCTTGGTAGTGTTGCATGAGTAGCAATAGTTTGCTTTCATTGATGAGATTCTCCTATCTCAGAATTTTAAATACTGACCATAGGAAAAGTCAGTGGCAAGTGTACAGTAGTCTTCTTGTGTACTAAGGAACTGAATGAATTTTAATTAATAAATGAATGATTTATGAATAAAATTAGGCAGTAAATATGTATTTGTTTGACTTGTAACTTACAAATGTAAATTTCCTTTAGCTCCAATTTTCCATTTATTTTCTTAAACGTTTCAAAATGAGTTCTCTTGGTGATTCTTGACCTTAGCTGCATGTTAGAATGCCCTGCAGATCTTGAAACTCACCTAAGTTTCTTCCCATACAGCTAATTCGAAATCATGTCTTTGTGATTGAAATTTCATATGATGCATTTATCGAGTCTACCCTCTATTATGTTTAGAGGCTCATTCTGAACAACCAGGCTCCAGAGGCACTAACTAGCTCATGGACTTTCCGATCATAGGCCGAAGCTACCTAACAATTGATTCTATTTTTTAGGACCTCCTTATGGTCTTAAGGGGTATTTGGCATTTCTTATTAACAAAATAGTTACAATCTACTTTTTTTTTTTTTTAAAAGCTCTGGCTATCCTGGAATTCTCTGAAAGCATGCTGACTTCCTTTTATTTTTCCTTATTTCTTTTTTTAAAAAAACCTACCAGTAATTCAATTGTAAAATCTTTTTCCTTCTGTCCTCTTTACCTTTTAAGAAACTGTAAAGGTTATTATTTGAAAGAGCATGTGTAAGTATTGCAGATGTGAAGGCACTGAGGAATGATCTGTGCTGTCTAGATACGGCTCCTTTGCCGTTACTGTACTACTACATGGATGTAGTCCTGTTCTTTCGGGTCTCACTTTTTAAGATCACCTTCCTGTTGTAAAGTTTAAGGCATTTTGCTCAAGTACTTTGTTTACAGTTAAAATGAATAGAATTTAATAAATAATATGGTTATGGCTTACCTGGAAAGCGTCAGCATGACTTGGTATAGACTTAAAAGAGTACATGTGATTATATTGTAGAATGATTATTGATATATAGGGACTCTAATAATTGTCCCTCCTGATTAAATGTCTGTCTGTGCATTTTATAATGTCTGTTCTGGCTGCAATCTTGTTTTGTAGTTTTTAATTCTGCAAAATTTGAGTAATGTTTCTTCAAGGTTGTTGAAGTAATAATAGTTACATAATGGAGTAAAGTCATTTGATTATTAATTTTCAAGAAGTTTTAAACTAATTTGTAACTGGACGTGGTTTTTAAAAATATTGGCAAAGATTTGATACACTTGTACTCTTTTTAGTTTGAGAAAATAGTTTGGAATGTGAAACAGTGCTTTTTCAATAGATGAATCATTTAGCAATTAAATTCTGATTCTAAGGCTTATTTAAAATACATTTGTATGAGTCGAGCTTGTCCTTTGCATTTGGCAAAACTGATACAATTGCAAATAGATGTATTTCTGAACGCTGTGTGTAAAATAACCTTTACATAGAGTAAAAAGCAAACTCTGGTGGTTCCTGACATGAAACTTCAGATTTCTGTATTTTGTTTGCCTTTCATAAAATTGAACTAAACAAAACTTTCTCTTCTGTTATTTCAAGCGGTAGTGTGACATGATTGATGGCAGACTGATGCCCAGCTATCCTCTAAATTCTCTTTGCCATCCTTACTGTGAACCTTAGGCAGGTGCTTCTCCATCCTGGTAGAATGTCCTGCAACGCTTCACTCCATCTGTCGTCTGCAGTCAGTGTGCCTGTGCTGTCATCTCTAAAGCTTTTTTAGGCTGCCTGCAAGGACTAGCTGTGTAGGCCCCACATACTAAAAAGCTGTAAGACCAACCCTATTAGCAAAAGAAGTAGTTGGTGTGACAAGATGGCTCACCAAGTAAAGACAAATGCCACCAGTTTGATGGCCTGAACTCAGGCCCCAGGGCTTGAAAGGAGAGAGCCACTCTTGCAAGTTGTGCTATGACCAATATGTATAGACAAAGAACACGTAAAAGGTGGAGTTTAAGTAAACTGCCAACTTTTAAAATTAGTGGTGCTTTTGAGGGGTGAAGCCATACTCAGAATGAAATTTGTTGGAAAGTTAGTTATAGTGCTTGCTAAGTAAGAAGGCAGATTGTAAGGAGAATGACTTCGCTGTAGCTTCATAGACAGTATGCTGCTGTGTGTGTGATACAGACATGGGACAGGGGATGGCAGGGTGAGGTAGACTGCCTCCCATGCTTGAGGTCCTGGATTTGATCCCCTGAAACCTCCCCAAAACTTGTCTGGGGAAAAAAATAGGCAACCAGGATGCAACAACAGCATCTGTGAGGTCTTTGGGAAATGTATTCTGAAAACATAAAAAATAATTTCTGGCTTTTAAAATATGTAAATATTTTTATTTATAATATGTAAATACATATTTCTAAACCCAGAAATATAATTTGCATATACATAAGTAATATATAATAAGTGTATATATATGAAGCCTAGAGTTTAGATGTGACCTGACCTTTACCTTCATGTTTTACAGTGTAATTGGAGTGTCTTATGTCCTTTCATAAGTTCTGGAATCTTAATTCCCGACCTTACATGTGGTTAAAGCTGTCCAAAAAGTAATCAAGTTAATGGGGGAAGTTCAGAGTGGCTCAAATCCTCATCAGAGAGATTTGAACCCAGGCAACAGCACAAAGGTGGGGATCTAGGAGCTTCTGCATGAAGGTTGATGTTTGCCAGTAGACCCACAGCGGTGGCAAGGACAATGGAGTGCGCAGCCACCCTTCAGCATGCAGAAACAGCCATCATCTTAACACTCGTTCAGCCAGCCAGCTCGTAATAGTTTGTGTAGTACACTTTTATTAAAAAGAATTCACACACTGGTGGCATCATTACCAGAATCCAGCACTGAACCAGAATTCACTGTGACTTCTCCCGTGTGCAATAAATATTTCAGTAGAAAATTTGTAAGAGGGTGAAAGTCTTGACATTCAAGAGCTAGGGGCTTGCTGGTTCCTGTTTTCCGTGGTGGAGATAACCTTAGACACTTGCAGCAGTGTAACAGAGCTTGTTCTCTGAGTGGCTGTCCGGGCTCATCAGTTCCACAGAGCATAGCTTTCCTTGTTTTAGTCTATCATCAGCATGGCTTAATCATTCTCAGTAAAAGGGTCAGTGCTGGCATTGTCTTTAGTTTGAAGGAAGGCTCTACATCTACAGCAACCCTTTCTCTAGTTGGAATGATGAGTTTGTCTTGGGCCAGAGGTATGTTGATTATGCAGGTCCCCTGAGATCCATCTGACTGTTGAAAAGCATCGGTTCAACCAGAACTATCTTGCAGCCTCCTCAAGTCTCCGTTATGCTGAGAGCCTTAGAGGTCCTGCATAATTCAGGGCTGCAGTCCCTATTGCTGCTATACACTCCACATTTTGGGTTGGGTTGTTTGTTCTGAAGTAAGGTGTCATTTTGTAGCCTAGGCTGATTGATTCATTGCAAGAGATTACTGCATGGGCCACCATGCCTGGCTGGAGTTCAGATTTCTGTTAAAGGATAGGCAAACCTATATATACTTTAAACTTGAAAAGGAAATGGCCTTCAGAATCCGCCAGGCTTCTGTGGACCACAGCCCTCATCATACAGGGATAAGAGCCTGTTCTTCCAGACTTGTCAGTCAGATCCTTACTCAAGGGAGCGCTCCCTGCAGAAGGAGCACCGAGGTCACCACTGAGGTAGAATTCAAATCCATCAGCTAGGTAAAGGAACACAGAAATGGTTTTGTTTTGTTTTGTTTTAACAAGTAAAACATAGAACATCAAGAAACAAAGTAGACACTTTCTGCAGAGTTAATTGAACTTTCCACATACTATTCAAATATTCTAGCACAGATCTGAGTTGCCAGTAAAATATAGTGCCAAGCCTTTGTTATAGACATAGGTAAATATGGAACTTTGAAATACACTGATTATTTCATAACATAAATATTTCCTTGGAATCTGATGAGGATAAGGAGGAAGTAAGGTGTTTTTCTGGTTGGTTGGTACTTGTTTGTGAAATGGAGATCTTACAGTTGTTTGGGAGTAGTGCCCACACATATGTGTAATTTTGTACACAATTGAAAATATAGACATTTACTGGGAGGGGTGTTACTTTTTTTAAAAAAAGTACTATCATTTGAACATTACAGCCTCTCAGGCCTTGCAATTCCCAGTTTTAGCATGATAGAAATGTAGGCAGAATAGTAGAAACCCCCTCCCCCTTTTTTGGCCTGTTTTTAGTGTGCATGTACACCGTGATTTATACATGCCCTACCGTCTGCTTCATCTCATCACTTTAAATGATGCTGTAGATGAAATAGGTAAGGAAACTGAGGCGCAGAAAGATTAATTGGATCCAAACCATGGCTGTTAGTCTTCTCTCAAGTTAAATATTAACATTTATAACATTAGCAGCTGTACTTCCTGCCAGTGTTGGTAGCCCTTACGAAAACACTGTAGAAGAAAGGATTCAGGAAAATTCTTTCCAAATCAACTTAAATCAGTGTAGTGTGTACATTTTTATTTTCACTACCTTCTGTAAATAGGGATCTAGACACCAACTTATTCACAATTTAGGGATGGCAGTCTCTAATTTTGCCACAAGGTGGCATCAAAGTGCCACCTATAAATAGGGAGCTGGTCACCATCTTAGTCACAATTTAGGGATGGCGGTTTCTGATCTTACCACAAGGTGGCACCAAAGCGCCATTGTTTCTATTCTAGAATTTGGTTCTTACAAACTAATGAAATTTGTCCTTAGAAATGTGCTAAAATTGAAAATGATGTTTTTTTTTAAGATGAGAGCTTTTTCAGATGTAGACAAAGAACTCTTACCAGTAATAGCCTAAAAGTAAGCAAGGCTATAGGAAATTTCAGTGGAGGTGAATATCTACAGTCTTGGTGGGGATGTATATAGTAACAGCTTTGTAACTGAACAATGTTAACTGCAAAAACATTATCTTTGGCTTTGAGTATCTTTGTCCAAGCTCCATGAAGATGGGAAGAATCATTTAGAGGGGCACAGCATCATCTTTTAAATAAGCAAAAGGCTGTCTGGGTGGTTAGGATTAATTTGCTTTCATGGCACTAAATTTGTGTAACATCTTTTATTTCCTATAAAAATTAGAGATAACAATGAAAACAGTTATAGAAGTTGACCTGGATATTAACTGGGTGTCCTGGTAATGAAGTATGCTGCTTTGAGTTATGTAGTCCCCTCTGGGGATGGTTTCTCACTGTGGTGAAAGGATTTTGTTTGTTCTTTAGGTGAGGGTCTCTCTGTGTTGCTCCACTCTTGAACTTGTGAGCTAAAAGTGATGCTACTGTCTCAGCCTTCAGCTTTGTGGTTCTGGGGATCAAACCCAGGTGACATGCTCTACCACTGCAATGTACTGCCAGTGCCTGAAATGAGTGGTTTTTAAGTAGTTTTATGACCTCTCACCTTCTATGCCTCATCTACTGTTCCTGAGGGTCTTGAAAACATTAGGGAGAAAGTGTTGAGGTAACATAAGACAGAGCATCCTAGTCATTGTTACTCAAAGGTAGGTTCTCCTACCTGTGCATGTGTGTGAATACATTAACTCTAAAGTTATGTCCAGAGTACGTCCAGGAATCATAGAGACACTGTTGAGTCCCCAAGCCTTAGGGAATGGGTTGAACTAGTATTAGGTTTCTTACACTCCTGAGTTCCTAAGTTCCATGAATAAAATTAGATTGCAAATAGTTTTTTGGTTGAATAGAGGGACTTCACATCACACCTTAAATTCCAAGGCTGTTCAGAAAATGCAGCTTCTGACTTTGTGGAAATGATTCTTCTTCTTCTTCTTCTTCTTCTTCTTCTTCTTCTTCTTCTTCTTCTTCTTC